CCCCCCCCCCCCCAAGACACGTGTTTTATTATCAATCTAAAGAAAAGAAAAAAATAAGCATGAGAACTTAATTGGGTTCTCTCCAAGTAACGTACCAAGTTAAGATTCATACAACCAAATGGATCATCAAGAAACAGATGGCACCAAAAATCAAATTAAATGGTTAATTACTATTCTTAGGTGGATGACACCACAATTGAGTAAAGAAAACTGCAAAAAAGGTAAAAAGACCAAGGTTATAAATATTTCCAGATCTAAACCTTATCTACTAAAACCATAGATGGTTCTCAAGCAGCTAAAATTTTAACAAACACATCTTTTTCATTAAGGTCAAAACCGAAAATTATAAGGCATTGTGATGTCCACGAGTAGCTCTTTTTTAATGGATGTTAGTCAAAGCATCCAAAAGTTATACCAATTCAAGGTACAGAGACACAAGTGTTGCCAATTTGCATGTTTGTTAAAACTAATCTTAGACAATTTAAAGTTTAGCTTCAAATAAGTTAATATGATATGCTTGATGAAGCTTATTTGAAAGTAGCTTAAAATAGGATAAAATATTACCATTAGATCTTTAAAGGAAAATAAAACTAATCATTAGTGATTTGAGTACATGTTTGAGTCTCCTTTGATTTGAGGAAAAATTTAAGTCTTTTAATTTGGTATGAGTTTGGGTATAGTATTAGAGAAAGTTATTAGGAATTTTTTTACTCAAATTTAAATTTAGATTTAAAAAAAAGTAAGAGTTGGAAATGCTCTCAAACAAGTGTACTCAAATCATATGACAGCAATGGTTCCCTAGGAGAGCATCAAGCATAATTGTTGCCCTCCAAATTTCTATTATGTTTGGTGTATTAAAATCTAAATATGTACGACCTTACCTATTCAAAACGATGTGAGATTCTTAAATCGTGATTGTTTAGTACCCAACCATAAAATTGGTTAGGTTATTTCATTTTGTCAATTTGAAACTTGTGGTGGGCATTTTTTTTAAAAGAAAACTGTGGCTAAAATTTTGCAGAGTGGATTTTATTGGTCTACCCTTTTTAAAGATATATATGTTTTTGTCTAAATTATGACAGATGTCAAAGAATGGAGAATATTTCAAAAAGAAACATGATGTCTTTGAACCCTATTTTAATTATTAAAATTTTTTATTATTGGGGGTATTGATTTTATGAGACCATTTTACCCATCCATTGGAAATTTGTACATTTTGATTGTCATTGATTATGTTTTCAAATGGGTGGAGGCAATTCTTTGTCGAAACAATAATCACGCACAGTGATCAGGTTTTTAAAAGAAAATATTTTGTCTAGATTTGAAATTTCTCGAGCCATCATAAGTGATAAGGAAACACATTTTTGTAATAAAGTTTTTAAAAATTTAATGAAAAAATATTTGATTTTCCATAAAATTTATACCCCTTATCATTCCTTATCATCCCCAAATAAATGGATAAGCTGAATTGACCAATAAGGAGATAAAATATATTTTGGAGAAAATAATCAATCCAGATCACAAGGATTGGTCTTTAAGAGTGACTGATCAGCTTTGGGCTTACCGAACTGCATACAAAACTATTTTGGGAATGTCTCCTTATTAGCTGGTTTATGGTAAACCATGTCACTTGCCTGTTGAATTGGAATATTGAGCATACTAGGCAATGAAAATTATGAATTTTGATATTAACAAAGTAAGTGCATCCCCGCAAACTTTAAATTAATGAATTGGAAGAACTAATAAATAACACATATGAAAATGCAAAGATTGTCAAGTACAGAATGAAAACTTTTCATGATAAGAATATTGTGCGGAAGTCCTTTGTACCCTCTCAAAAAGTTTTGTTATATAATTCAATGCTCTGCCTATTTCCAGGAAAATTAAGATCAAGATGGACAGAGTCATACATTGTTAAACAAGTCTTTGAACATGAGACAATTAAAATTGAAAATCCATTAATAGGAAATGTTTTCAAAGTGAATAGTCAAAGCCTTAAGTCATATCGTAATGGATTTGTTCAAAATGTGAATTCCATTTGGTTAATGGAACCAGAATATGTGTCTTGAGAAATATTACAAATGTTTGATTGTAAATAGTAGTATTAACTGTTTGTTATTTGTTTTACAAATTAGGGTTTGGCACTTTGAATTGGTCTCACGTCCAAATCTTATTAACAAGTGTCTATAATTTTACTTCATAATGTTATACATTAAGGACAATGTTAAATTTGTTGGGGGAAGGAACAATCCATATTCGTCTTTGTGACCGACAGATGTTAAAAATTTAGATAGTGAATCTTTTCTAAGTTTTTTTCAATTTTTTATTAAAATTTTTTCAAAAATGGATGAAATTGTTTTTTTTTTTTTTTTGGTTTAGTTTGGATATGCTACGCATTTTTTTCGAAAGATATACATTTCTTTGATCAAATCAAAAGAAAAGGCTATAAGAAAGTTAGAAACTTTTGGTAGTCAAGAAAAACATTTGTGCTGGAAAAGTTCATTTGTCAAACGCCGATGAGCAAATCAACTTGGTGGTTATGTAAAGTGCAGTTAATTAATGCATATGAGAGAATTTAATCAATGTGTTAAACCATTTTCAAGTCGAACATTAGATCATCTTGATTGGATTATGTATGGGCAGAGTAAGGACCTTGAGATGCCATCCTATTCTAGTTCAATGCTCTCAAGATATGTGCGACGAGAAATTATTTGGTTCACTAATGTTCTCAATTTATAAGATTCTGATTAAAACTAATTATGATCAAAGTTGTATAATCTTAGAGTTTGCTTGAATATATATA